AATACTGAAAAAAAAAGAAAAATAAAAAGAGTGAGAAAGAGAGGGAGAAAGATGATAGTCAAATACCACAATTAAAAGATTTACCATATCCTCGTCATCCTTCCAAGAAAGATAAAGAAAGACAGTTTGCAAGATTCATGGATATTTTCAAGCATTTACAGATTAATATTCCATTTATGGAAGCTATGGAGCAGATGCCGACTTATGCAAAATTCATGAAAGAGTTGTTAACTAAGAAAAGGAGATTTACTACAGAAACAGTGGAGTTAGAAGCAGGATGCAGCGCTATAATTCAGAAATCATTGTCTCAAAAGTCCAAAGATCCTGGCAGTTTCACTATACCAGTCACAATTGGGACATTACAAGTAGGTAAGGCATTGCTCGATTTGGGTGCTAGTATAAATCTAATGTCTTTGTCTATGCTTAAAAGAATAGGAGAGTTGGAAGTAAAGCCTACAAGAATGACACTGCAACTGGCTGACAGATCTCTAAAGATTCCTTACGGACTAGCAGAAGATGTTTTAGTTAGAGTGGATAAATTTATATTTCCTGTTGATTTTGTGATTATGGACATGGAGGAAAATGAGGAAGTCCCATTGATCCTGGGAAGGCCATTTATGAAGACTATCAAAGTAATTATAGATGTTGACATGGACAAGTTGAAAATTAGAAGTGGAGATGATGAAGTTAATTTCAATCTGTTTGAAACTGTACAACAACCGGAAGACAAGAAAGATTGCCTCAGAATAGATACTTTGGAGGAATTACCCATCTCAACTGAAAAACAAGATTACAAGCCTGTTGCACAATCCCAAAGACATCTTAGTCTGACTATGAAGGAAGTTATTCAAAGAGAGGTATTGAAACCTCCTGAAGCAGGTATGATTTATCCAATCTCTGATAGTCGTAAGGTTATTCGCAATGAAAAGAATAAATCCATTCCCACAAAAACAGTCAAGGGATGGAGAATGTGTATATATCACCTTGATCACTCACCTGCATGAGCCCTAAAGCAAATAGGCGTTAGGTTAATTGACGTTCTTAATTGACATAGTCATTACAAAAGAGGGATAAGGAAAGAAGTCAATCCTAAGTACCTTTAATTGATATTTTCTCAACAATTTACAGTTCTTTGTCATTTAATTTCAATTCAACTCTTTATACAAAATTCATTATGTTTTAATCTACTTAGTAAACATAAAATTGAGAATTTCCATTGAAACCGTTCCTTGTGCAATCGACTTTTATTTAATCAAAATACTATACTGCGATTGATAATTTTGGTACGCTTGCCAATAATTTAATATTGTTGTAATGAAACTAAAGTATTAAACCTTTTTTGAAAACCAACGTTTAAGAAATTAGATTTTCTATTCTCATACCTCCTCCCGTGGTCAGGGTGATAATGATACATTTTGTCTTACTAAACACAATTATATAATTACACAAAATTTATAGACCTTACTAGAAATATGACCTCTGTCACTAAATCTATCTAGTACTACAAAGATATTACCAGTTGAAAACTTAAGATAGTGAAAATAGATGTATTTAAAAAACTTTTTAAAATGCAGCCGATCAAGATCTGGTTTTAGAATTTATTATCTGTATACAAAAAACATATCAAAATGATTAATAGATTAAATAAGTTATAACAATTATAAAAAAAGAAAACAAAAAATTCAATAAATAAGAGATTTATAAGACGTCAAATAGAAACACATAAAGATTTATAAGACTTTAAGTTCAATACCAAAGAGAAACTCTAACTCTAACGTGCATGTAAGTCAATTGAAATTTAAAATCCAACGGCTACAAACACATTCTGCAACACATTTACTAACCCTAATAATAAAATAGTAGTTGACAGCTGAAAACCGATTTTTAAGCCATAAACATATTTCCCAATTCCCCAAATGAAAAATAAAAAATAAAAATTCTCAAAGGGTGGATGTACGGGTGTGTGACAGTGTGTGTGAGAGCCACAAACAACTTTTTCAGCTTTTTAAGGAAAAGGTTTTTATAAAAGTATTATAATCTTAAAATCTGAAAACTATTAATCTCAAATTCCAGAAACAAAAACTATTATTAAAATCTGAAAATAATCTTAACCAACTAGATAATTATATGGTAAATAATAATAATAATAATTATTATTATTATTATTATTTCTAATTAATGGGTATCACGAAAAATGTTGGTTTGAAAAAAACTACTTCAAGTTCAAGTTTTGAAATGAGAAGTGTGTAGAAGATGAGTGTTTAAATAATTAAATAAAATAAATAAATAAATAAATATATATATATATATATATATATATATATATGATAATTAGACAAATTTTCATATTAAAATATGTACTTTGTTGGAGAAATGGATAGTGGAAGGAAGGATATTTGGAGATGGAATCTCAAATATGTTTTTAGTTCAAAACCCTAAATTATTCTAATTTTAGCTGTTTCTCAAAATTGAAAAAATAAATATGATTTCAGTTGTTAAACAATAAAGTTAAAAGATTAAAAATTATTTTTTAAAATTATTTTTAATCTTTCAAATTTAATGTTTAGAAATTAAAATCATAATTTACTAAATTTAAGGAAATAAAATGAATTTAAGAGAATAAAATGAACTTATTCTAACACGAGGAAAAAATTATTTACTTCAAAATTCCAATTTTTAAGAACTAAAAATATAAACAATGATTGGAAGTGTTTTGAATGGTAGGAGAAACCAATTATAGAAGGATTGAGGCAATTAGAAACGTCGATTCTCGTAAATCAATCAAAGAAAACTGGATATGGAAACCCAAGAATACCGGCATCTATCCACTCATATCTTACTTTGTAGTACTATAAGAATCACATGAACAAACTGATATTTTCATTCTTTAATTTTTTATCCTTTTTTTTTAGTATATTTGATACCGTTAATGATAGGATTAAAATCCAATTTGAGGAAGAAAATTCTTTATTTAGTTTTGTTTTTTAATTTTTAAACATTTATAAAGATTAGTTTTGAAAATAAATTAAAAAAACTTATTTTAATAATTTTGATTTTGAAAATTATTTAAAATAAAATTAAATGACATAGATAATCACACAAAAATTGTACCAAAAATTAAAAATAATTTAAAAAATTTAAGATAATGAAAATTTTAATTATTGATTAAAATACTTATACCCATTCATGAAAATAGAAAATTAAAAAAAATTATCATTTTTTCAAAAAATTTAAAAACTAAAAAACAAAAATTATTTTAATGAAATAATTATTAAACAATTTTTTTAATTTTTAAAAACTTAAAAACTTAAAATAATTTTTAAAAACAGTAAGCAAATAAACCCTAATGTAATGTTATAAAATCTTGATTTCTCATTCCAATTCTTCCATTTAGAGGGAGAAAAAAATTAACTATTTTATTTTTTCTTGCAAGTTTTCAACAATTATTTGGAATATTGCTATGGCTTATTTGAGATCCAAATGATATTTGGAAGCTAAAGATTTATTTTTACAACACAGACATAGGTTTGTAAGAAATAAATTTAAGAAGGCATATAGCTTCTTTCATTTGCCACATTCTCTTTTTTTTTTTTTTTATTGTTTAAAACAGGATATGTTGGTGTGCATTTAAGATTACTATGCTATTATATTATATTTTTTATAGCTGATGCGGTATCCTTTACACCTCTTAGATATAATTTATCTTTTGTTATGTAAAGAGTTACGAAACTCATTCCTAAAAAAGAAATATAGGAAGGATTAATGATTTGGAACAATTAAGAAGTTAAAAGGGGCAAATCAAACTTTGAAACTTCAGTTTTTGTTTTTGAAATTCAAATTTTGAAAATGTGACAGTTCAAATAATTTTGTACACGTACAACTAACTACAGAAAATTAAATTTGGGAATAAAAGTTTATACAAATTTATTTATTTATTTTTGTCACTAAGAGCATCTATAATATCTTATTGCTTAACTTAGATTTATGGATCTTATATTGTCACATTAATAACTATATACAAAAGAAATTACTTTAATACTAAATTTGCTAAAGAGAGTATTTAACTTAATCTTTATAAATTTTCTTATGATTTTTTTTTACTTGAGAAGGTTCTTTTTTTTAAATAAGGTGTTGAACGTGACTGCCACCCAAAACTCTTGTAAAAGAGGCAGTGATTACAAAATATTAGCAATTCATTCACTTTTAATAATATATATATATATATATATATATATATATATATATATATAATTACTTTTAATTAAACATTATAAAAATGTATCTTAGAATCACACAAATTATAATTAACATGCAATTCTTGTGTCGAACAAGTAAATTTTTACGTATCCAAAAAGGGTGTTTCATTTGGATCCATCTACATTGCATCCGGAGGTTGTATATTTGAATAGAGCAGTGATAAGTTGACACTGCTGTAAAACATACATCTCATCGATAATCCTTTTTTTATTAATATAATAATTATATTATAATTTAATAAAAAATAAAAATAACTTAAAATTATTATTATTATTATAATTTGTTGTATATTGGATATTTGTACGAATCCTAGTATCAAAATAGTTTTTTCCATTTGAATGAAATTAAGGTTGACACACTTACTTTTCCAATGTTTATTGTTCTTCCTTTTACCTCATACACGGTAATACATAATCCTGTTGATGGAGTGAAATCTACTATTTCATTCTTGTCAATTGAACAGAAACTACTTTTATATATATATATATATATATATATATATATATATATATATATATATATATATATATATATATATATATATATATATATATATTGTGTGTGTGTGTGTGTGTATGTATGTATCATCGATTTGCATCGTCGTTTACATTATCTCACTTGGACTTGCTATGTGATAATTTATTTTTTTCCCGACTCAGCCTAATAGCCACTTTGCTTTCTAATTTCGATAAAACAATAAGAAGAAAAAACAGAATTGGTGGTGATACACTCTCAAAACCTTCTTAACATTTAGGCAAATCAGCAGGTGGTGGAGGGAGTGAAGTTGAAGAAGTTGGTCCATTCTCAACCTCAAAAGCCATGTCCAGTCCCCATGGCACATGATCTTCCACATGGCAATGCACAAACCATACCCCTACAAAATAGTAATGAAGATATATATATATATATATATATATATATATATATATATATATATATATATATATATATATATGGGACAAATAGGGAGTGTATATCCCCATTTTAGGGTGCGTGACAGGGAGAGATAGAACTAAAGAGACAGTAAAATATGTGATAAGTTATGTATATAGAAAAGAAAAAAAGAAAAAATAGAAAATAAGTGCGTGTTATCGTATTAAGTGTTGTATATGTAGGATTACATCTAAATATAATTTAATAATCACTTTCCTGACACTGTTTCACATTTTTGTTATGAAGGAGATATAAATTATCGAAAGTTGGGAAATGACAAAGAGTCAAGTAGCATCATTCTTTAGTTGATGATGCAGTAATGATATAAAGAAAATCATTACCTGGATTGTTTGCTCGGAATCGAATCACAGCCCATCCTCCCACCGGCACAGCAATTGTGTTGCGCAGTTGAGGATTCACCAAATTAAACTTGGTTGAATCAGCGGTGGAATTGAAATTCCCAAACCCTTGAGCCAAAACATGGAAACTAAAACCATGAATGTGAATTGGATGGTTCTGCACAGCGATAAACGCTGTGTTCTGAAACACAACCTCCACGGTTGAATTGAACTTGAGTTTCTTCGCCTTGGTTGATTTTGGCGCAAACAAAAGGTTCGTATTAAAACTGATATTAGGATTGGTGAAGTCAAACATAACTGGAGGGTTGTTAGGGAAATCAGCTTTGTAAACTCCACTCACATTCTTAAAGAATGCTTCCAACATAGAGAACCCTCTCCCCTTAGGGATCACAAAGGACTCATTGTTCATACTGGAAGAAAACCTACGGCCAAGTGGACCCTGACATGTGGCATTGGTGGCATTCTTAGGATCACACGGTTCTAGATTCAATCCAATAGTAATGAACATGTGTTCATCAACCTTAGATGGTACTGGAATCCAGTGTGGAGCCCCCACCTTACCAGTTATGTTGCTGTAGAATTTGTGAGCCGTTGCAGTGTCATTGAAAGGTGGTAGGGTTGGCATCAGGGGGTGTGATAATCGTGGTGCATGGTCGTAAACGATAATGCCACGTGTTGTAGTGTTGTCAAAGATTGGCACGCCAAGAGAATAAGGAGATGCAGCCATGTAGTATGAACCTAAGCGTTGGTTTGTTGTAAATAGTGCATCAACCGTTTGGCCAGGAGCGATAACGATGATGTCGGTGATGTAGTGGTCAGTGTATGCAGCATCCACGGCAACAACTTTGAAAGTGTGATTTGCTATCTTGAAGAAAAGTTGGTTATTGAGTGCAGCATTGATAATTCGTAGCATGTAGGTCTTTCCCTGATTCACCTTCATCTTGAATGTCTCTAATCATGTTCAGAAAGTCATAAATATGTCATGAATATCACAAATGTTTAAGCGGTTAATTAACAGAAAACTCATGAAAAGTGTTGGTGTACATCCCTAACATGGTTTCGAAAAACTGTGTATCAGAGTTTTTGGACTTAATTACAGTTTATTTTCTCTGTAATATTCTTCAAATCAAGTATTGTGATAAATCCATAAAATAACCACAATTTCAAATATTTAACAATACAAACCACAGATTTCCAGGCTAGAAGAGTTGAAACGTTGACAAATTGAACATGAAACACAATTTCACTTGTTCAGAACTTGTGTGGCCTAGGAAGGTTGTCCATACCAATTTCCAAAAATGAATGCTACAATGCATATCTAATGTACGAGAGGAAACATACGAGATTTTGAACAATTGAAGAGATCACCAGGCAAGCCGTTGATTGTGAATGCATTAGATACATTTGGACCGCCACCAGTGGCGAGTGCTTGGGTCTCAACATCCACAACATTAGAATCATACCAGTCACCTGTATTTTAATTTAAAAAATAAGTAATATCTTGTTTCAGAATACGTCTTTTGTACTATTAGTTGATTTTATAATTACATTCAGATGATTGTATAAGCAAGTGTTGCTTCGTAGACATAGAAGTTATATGTCTCAACAAAGATCCTCAAACTTAACGAAAGACAATACCTAATATAATAGGAAATTGTTTGTAAGGTTTAGGAAATGGAAATAGGCCTGAACGTGGGTGAATGATGAAAGCACCATGAATAGTAGCTCGTAGAACAGATGCGTGAGCATGCCACCATAAGGTTCCTTCTTGTTGCGTCACATTGAATTTATAAGTATACTTATTTCCCGGACTGATTGTGCATTGAGTTACATACTCTGGACCATCTGCCCAACCGCTAAAGAGCTGAAACACTCCATGCCTACACGTCCAGTTATAAATTTCATATCAACAATGAGTCATTAATCTATAGGGTCGTTGCATGCAACAAACTAATATCTACATCTACAGTATGAATGTCTAACAATGTTCTTTACGTCTATAAAATCTGTTGATAACCAAATAACATGCTTCAAATTCATCTTTTCTTTACTTGAAATACATGCTTCAAACTGGTTTTTTATTTAATCCCTTAAAAAATATTGTATAAAATTATTACTTGTAATTTTTTTTCTTCCCTATATCATTTTTATGTGAGTCTTCTACATATTTTTACATTCCTTTAAATGTATTTCCTTGCTAATTTATCACCTCAATATATATATATATATATATATATATATATATATATATATATATATATATATATATATAATTCTTTTAAACATCACAAATATCCTATCTAGACTCTCTTTTTTACAAGAAATACATAAGCACTTAAAACAGACAAAAAAAAAACAGTTAACAACAATTAGAGTATTCCAGTATGCTTCACTTCATTTTAAACAATATAAGTAGTTTTTATTTTAATGAAAGTTTCTATTAACAAATTAAAAATACTCAAAAAGACTAAAAAATATTTAACACATTCAAAAGGCTCTAAAAGTAGTGCAGTTAGGCAAAAATTCCCATTTGATGTGAGTCTAACTAATTTTAGATTGGTTCCTCAAATTAGGTGTGATCTACCCCTCCTCCTAGAGGGTATTTGAGTTCATAGAGTTTGGTAGGAATCAAACATTTCGACTTTCCATACAGAAGAGAAGCTCATGTATAGTAATTAGATTTCATGCTATTTTGAATGCATAACTATATATATATATATGTGTGTGTGTGGAAGCTTTACCAATGAATAGTGATATTGTAAGGTCCCTGGTTGAATAGATGAACAATGATAGTGTCACCTTCGCGGACATTAATCTTTGGCCCAGGGAATCGTCCATTAACTGTCACAATTACTCGCTCATTGCACAAGCGTTTGATAGTCTTGTTTTGAACCTGGAAAAAGTGAAATTGCAACAATATGAATCTACGCAGAAACTAAAGACGTATAGTTTTACATATATTCATGTCTCTATACTTCATATGAGAAAGGGTAAACACCAACAGCCAAGTGTAAATTGTAAATTGTTGTTAGTAGTTGCCTGGTTTAAAGCACCAGAAAAACGAAAGAAAATTTAGGAACTAATTAACTATAGTTGCATATAAAATCGAATACTACAAAAGAAACTCTTATTTACAAGTTACTACTATTTTGTACAACTAACAAAAACATAGAAAGAGAATAAAAGAAAATGAAATGCAAAATATATATATATATATATATATATATATATATATATATATATATATATATATATATATCGTTTTAGATAGGGAGATACAAAAGAAACATAAATGTTGTAAAAGATAATTAATTATAAAAGTACGCCTAATAAGAATAATATATATATTAGTTCACTATGTAGTAAAAAAAAGGTTATAAAGTGAGGTAGCCAATTACTTTGAAAGTGCGTTCCACTGCTGCAGCAGAAGCGAAGGAAGAAGCTAAAAGAGCAAAAGTCCATGCAAGCAAAAACCTGAAAAGCTTCATGTTTAACAAGAGAGAGTAGGAAGAGAAGGTAGGTAAAAGTGTGTTATAGGGATGCTGTGTACACTACTGGAATGTGGACTTTATATACAAAGATATAATAGTCTGTGAAATTTGCCATTTTGTGTTTGCGTGCTCATTTAGAAATGATTTACAGAAGTTGCAATGAGATTTGAGTTGGCAATGAAGCAATGTTTGTATTTTATGACTTTAAGTCAACGATAATGGGGAGTAATATCAAGTTATTGGTATGATATGAAATTATACTGCTCCCCAACAATAAAATTTGGGATGAATTCCTGGAGAATGCAAATGAATGGACCTGCACAGGGATAAGTAGGGTAAATATGCACCGTTTCTACTCCACAAAACGTAGGTATAATAAGGTTCACTCAATTAACATTTTTTTTTTCTTATACCTATATTACATCCCTTTCTATCTCCTTTCGCTTCCCAACTCATCTTTCAATTTTTCATTTTCCCTTCCTGTCTCATTCATCTTTCAGGCTAGGTCATATCAACATTAACACTCTTGCTAAGGAAAGTTATATATATATATATATATATATATATATATATATATATATATATATATATATATATATATATATATATATATATATATATATATAATTCTGCGTATCATACCATATTATTATGTTTTAAATTTTTATTTTCTTGAATACCGTTCGTAGTCTAATTTTATTTTTAGTTTCATCATAATTTATAATATTTGTAGCTATGATGATGTTTCTGGTGCATTTTAATCTACAAATTTGATCTCTTCTAATTACAAAATTTTAGTTTCTCTATTTTCAACGTCAAGCAGTAAATAATCCATTAGTAGATCATCATTGATCATTAGTTGATTATGACGCTGAACTTTGATGTTAACCTTCTTTCAGTAAGACATTATTCTCATCACCACTAGCAATATTTCAGGTCAAAATTGTGGAAAAGAATCGGAGAAGTAATTATTTTTAATATTTTTGTTTAGTAGAACTGGTTTTGAATGAAACCAGAAATTATATCTTATTTGCACTCTAAACGCAACTCTATTTCACCAATCAAACAAATTCAATTCTTCTCCACTTACTTTTAGAAAAACGTACCCAAACGCATTGTTTTTGTTATTCTTAAATCAGATTTACAACAACCTCTTATACCTCCATTCACAAATAACTTTGGTATGGCAGAATTAGGTAAGACTTCCATCAAGGAATAGGCCAAGTGCATATATCATAATGACCTTACAGAACAATACGTTTCATCTTATTGTCCTCCTCCAATTGTAAAAGGAGCACAACAATGCATCATATTGTAGTATGATTTCCCCAACTATCAATATAGTGGTCTTTTATCTTCTATGTTGTTGCATTAATAATGAAAACCATGAAAAACTTGACTCTTGGGATAGGTTGTTATACTACTATATCATGTAAATAAGCAATTATTGTTATTATTGATACACTCTAAAGTGATGGTCCCGATATCATGATTGTGTCTCATTCTATTTGTCAAACTATTTAGCCCTCCTTGCTACCCATTTTGTTACCTTCAAAATTTAGTATTTTCCTGGAGCCAATTCAATATCTTTGCCGTAAAACCTAGGTTCAGATTAGTTCTGGATTCAAACAAATTGGTAAATGGTCTTATTATCTAGTGTTTTTAAAACTTTAGTTAAAAATTAAAAAGAAATAATTACGAAAATGCCGTTGAAACGTGGCATAATACGGCTTACGGCAGGCAAAGTTGTCTATATTTGAATTTTTCATCTATAAAATTTCTTTATTAATCTCTTTATTTGTTGAGTAAATAGTGTATATGATAAGTTTATTAATTAATGTTTGCAATAATCAAATCTTATCAATGAAGATTTCTGATTAGTTTATTATACATCGAATTAAATCCTCTTCTTTTTTATTTTTTCGAATCAACGGCTAATCAAGGTGGTGTCTTTTCTGAGAATGAGAACCAAATAATAGTAACTGCACATGTAATCCATGGAATCAACCAGATGCAGAGGAGCTGTTAGTTTGGACAAAAGCAAAAGCATTATCCGAAAAAAAGCTATCTTCGAGGGGTGTTAATTCCTTGAAACCCTAGTACCAATTCGGTTCTTTTACGGTGTTATCCTTAAAAAAATATGATGAAGATGTATATAAGATATCTTAAATAATATGGAATTTATATGAACACACAGAAACACAAATATTTAGAGAACATCTAACTTATAGAACATAATTGAACAAATATTTCCACAATCAATAGAGGAAAAATAAGAGAAAAATTAAAATTCTAAATTTTTCATAAACATTTTCAAAAATTTTATTTTAACTTCTATTTATGTTAATTTTAACTTATAAAGAATTTTTATTTTCTTTCAAGACTTCATGAAATATTTTGTCCAAATAAGCCCAAATATAAATAAGAAGACAACAAGAGGGTCAGTTTAACCTTGACCTTGAAACCAGATATTGATATCTCTAACATGATAGAAGGCATTTACAGTGACACCATCATGGTCATGGTGAACCTGTTTCATTGGCAAATGTACATAGGCAACTAGGATAGAAAAGTTGGAAGCTGTAGTGGATTTTCTTGAAAATGGTACTATATATAGGTTCAAAGGATCACTCATTCTGTTTTAGGATCTGAATTAAACAGATCTAGCTGGAAAAGATCAAGGAATAAGGGCCTGGTAGTCTTTCTATAGTTTTTTTTTTTTTTCTGATTATGTTAATGATCTAATTAAAAGGCAAAACCAAAGAAAAGGGTGTGAATTATGGTAGGAAATTAGCGTGCAAAACATGTGTGGCTGTTTAGCATATTTACAAGAAAATGGAAGTGCACAATCCGAGTACTACAAATATCTGACTTTTTAGTTACTTGGACTAAAATGGAAGAAACAACGCAATCATAATTTTGATTAGTTTGTCAGGTTGTAGTGGACAAAGATAAGTGTTGGATTGACCTGACACCTACCAATTACATGTTTGGATGAAGGTGCTACTTGCTTTTCAATATGCATCCATTTTGTCCTTCTCCTCTTAAATTCTTCCTATCACTTTATATATATATATATATATATATATATATATATATATATATATATATATATATATATATATATATATATATATATATATATATATTATAACCCTTACAAATCGAATTATAAGCACTTTTTTTTCTCGATCTACACACAATATCCTAATAATATTATCTATATGATAATAGTTTTTTATATGATATTTGTAGTTTAAGCATTGCACCATTAAATGTCATCAAGTGAAAAGAGGATAAACAATTTCAATAAAATGTCATTTAGAGTAACAGATTAGTCTCAGTTGCTTAAAATATATAATTTCTTAGAGTAGAACAAACATAACTACATCAAGATAGTCCACTTTGACATTCATTTAAGTATACTCAGGTTGATTAAAGCAAGTAGTTCTTGTTTTTTACTATTATTATTATTATTATTATTATTATTTGAAGGTTTGTTTAGTTAAATTATTGATAATTAAATTATATAGAAATTTTTCTCTAAATAAAATAAATAAAAGTTCTTAAAATTTAGCTTATGGCAGTTTGAAATTGTTGGAAAATGATAATTTATAACAATTCAAAATACTGAAACACTGGATTAAAAAATAACACAGTCCAAGGACCCTGTTAATTTATTTTTTCTTAATTTAAAGACCCACTTAAAAATTCCAAATAATTAATTAAGTCAAGTGATTCTGTAATTCAGATCAATGCAGCTTTCCTCAGACAAGCATTGATTTGAGGAATCTTGTGTAGTAGTAACTTTTTATTGAAGGCTTGGTTTTGTGGGATACACTGAAAATTGCGTTATTGTTGTGTAGACAAAAGCAGAATAGCCCATGACCTAATTTGGAAGTTTCATTGTTACTAGCTCCATCATTGAAAGTACCCCACCATAATTGTACTATATAGATAAAATCACTACTAGCTCCTGTTGGTGTCATTAACCTTAATCATGACACATGGTTCTTTAAGTTGACCATATAATTGTGTTGGTTCCACCTTCGACATGCGAAATCCATACAAAACCATTTCCCATTATCTGTTGGAAATTTTGTGGTGTTGGTAACCTTTTTCCCTTCATGTTAGTGGAGGTTTACGATTTGTTAAAGAGAAAAAACAAGAGAGGATCCCATATCCACCTCCTAAAGCTATTCACATCACAACCACCACCTATACATGAGAAACACAAACCCCAATTAGATTCTAACTTGTTTATAGCAATATCTTTTCTTTTTCACCTTTTTCCCTTTTTTATTATCTTCATCTTTGAATGGTTTATGAGTAGACCAGAACCATAAAATTATTAGGCAAACAAATGTATATGCCTTCAATTTCAAAGACTATTTTAACTTGTTTTCTATTCAAATTTTCTTAGCTTTCAAATTTTCAACTATTAAATTCAAAGGTGTCAACAACATTTTTAGTTTAACAAACGGTATTTTTGTAATTATTTACAGTATTTTCGTAAAATAACAAAAAAAATTTACTTCTATATTAAAATCTTTTAATTGTTTAAAACACATTACATGGACACTCTTTGAATTCATATATTAATCAAATTAATTTTAATTTTAGATATAATTATTTTATATTTAAATTATAATACACGTATATATTTTAATAAAATCATATTATTTTTATTTTTTAAATATGATTATTATTTTATAAAATAGGTTATTTAATTCATACATAATTATTTTAGTTTAGTCTATTTTAAAAAAAACTTTTTAGACCAACACATGATAATATAAAAACTATTTTGACAACTATCATTTGCTCAATTACTTTATTATTTGTTTGATTAGTGTATTTGATTTAAAATATACGTTATTTGCAGTTGTATAGTCGAAGAAAAATCAACTTTTTAAGGGTATAAAACCTGATTAAAATGTTGATATTATATAAGAAACTAGCATTTGTAGTTTAATAATTATTGAAGTGTGTTTGCATTTGGTGCATGGCTGATAACCACTTGAACTACTAGGGTGGTTGCAAAGAAAAATAAATGAATTTAATGACTAAGTTTCTAATTGAAGTCGTGGATTTGGTGTATGGATGCTAGCATTTCAACATGACATGGGTGGTTCAACTTTCCAAAGTCTTGGACTCAAAGTCAACAGACTTTCTTTTATCGGAATATTTATTAGTAGAACATTAAAAGTTTCCCTTCATTTTTACGTTCCATAAATTTTTTTTAAATTAACAGACCAATAATTATCGATATTATAAATTTATTTTTTTCTTCGTAGGGTTGATTTACATTGAAGTTTTATTATTTTCTTGGTACCAAATGTTAATCTAACTAGTTTTGCTTTTAAATTTGAGCATGAAATTTAAAAAACATGTATTCAATCATAAAAAACAAGCCCATAATATACATATAAATTTTGAGACTTTTGCTTATTACATGTATTAAGAAAGATATATTCCAAGAGTAAATATTATTACTAGTATTTATATATATATATATATATATATATATATATATATATATTTAAATTGATTCGTTTTTTATTAAAAATTTGAATTAACGTAAAAATTTTAATAAAGAAAACAAATATAATGAGACAAACGATAAGAGATTTTCTCACTCCTTTAACAAATATCTAACTATTAATATGAAATCTCGCAATTATGTTATGCCAATTTTATGAGAATATAATAAATAGAATGTTGTGAATTTAGAAAAAAATAAAATAATAAATAGAGTTGTAAAAAGTGATTAGAAAATAAAAATTTTAATTGGATTTTTATCATAAAACTTTATTACGTATCAATTTTGTTTTTCTATTTATAAAGGTGTTATAATATTAACAATTTTTTGAATACATGTTATCCACATATATTCTCACTCTTACTTAATGTTCTCGAAATTTGACTTAGTTTAGTGTGTTAGACTCAATCATGTCTAATATAAACAACTATTTTAGGTTTTAATTGGTCTAACTGATTTTAATGTTATACTATGCAAAAGAAATTCAGCGAGGTAACTAGAAATTTTTTATGCGTTCACGTTTTAGGACTTTAATATTTATGTCAATCTTACAAAAGGTTACAAGAGTATTTTTCACCTAGTGTTACTTATGCACAAATAATGAACTCCAATCGATTTCTACATTTTTTTAGTACTCAACACTAACGACTTCAATTTTATTATAATGTGTTCTACTTATGTAACTCTTCCTACACTATAATTAATAGAGTTAATATTATTGAATTAACATATAACTTGGTCTATGTAACAAGTTGTGTTAGTTTATATAGGTCTTTGAAAATATTAAAATACTAATAAGCATAGCCTAATAGGTTCATTTTTATGATGTAACTAATTTACATAACTTAAAATTTAGTAATTTAATGAATTAATTATATTTTGGTATTTTAAGTGTTTCTATTGTGTTATTTAATTTGTTATATTTCAATATGTTAATTTCGCATTTCAATTTTCCATACTTTAACAATCAAGTATCTCCATTACTTTTTCTTTCACGTGACTGTGAAATTGACATGGCAAATACAAGTAAAGTTTTACATGTCAAAAGCTACATATACTTTGGAAATATACAACAAATGCTCAAGGTAAGATACGTACCAAAATCCTATGGTTTTTAGCATGTCTTATTTTATGAAACACACAATTTACTAGACTAGGTTTTTACCAACCTTGACATCTTAGATTCAAAACCTACTTAACTTTTAAAATGTTTTTTTTAAATACACATACTTCTCATCAAGTTAGTTACATGAACTCACATATATAGAATATATAAGCAAAAGGAAACTTTACTAAATTGTCACAAGAACGTACTTGTAATCTCTTTTACAAACAAAGGATGAATATAATTCAAATCTAAATAACTAAAATTATATAATCGAACTGTTTAAAATGAAAAATGCAGTAAAACCCTTGGAGTATTTATAATGCATGTTAGTCTTAATAACTTGTTTATCTTAATTATGAGACATGGTTCAATATACACGAAAATTATTTTTAATATTACGATTATTAAAATAAAGGTGAATTTTTTTAACCTGAAATTAATTATTTAAACTGTTTTCTGATGGTTTTCTTATTTAAAATATAATTGTTTTTAAAGTAGCAGTATTATAGAAACAACTATTTTAGTGTAAATATTATCATGCCATTTGGTTTAAGTGGTCAATTTTATTTAGTTTTAATTGAAATAACTTTTTGTATGCTAATGTTCTTTGGAAGACCTTAAAAGAAAAAGTTATATATGAATTTAATTTATCAAAATAGTAATTTAGAAGAGAAATAATTTGGTTGAGTTAGAAAAGAGAATAAATATTAATATTACTATTTTTATTTCCCATGTCACACTCCTTTATCAATGCAATCTCGTGGGAGTTTTTCTGTGCTCTCACAGCACCTTTGTTTGTGTTGTTGTTGGCAGGGTCACTGTCTCTGCCTTCTTCCACCGCACCAGTACTCTTCGTCCCATCATTCATACCCTTTCTCTCTCCATTCAGAGTAATTAAAGGATGCAACTTTCCTTACCCCCTTCCAAAACTTGAAACTTTTGGAACTTTGCATTAATGGGGTTCGAGGGAATGCTCACCTAATCCGGTTTCGCAATTCTTTAACCCCAAGTTCCATTTTTTTTTTAACCTTATTTTCTTTTTTTATATATATGTACTCCCAACGCTCCAAAATTTGAGGCATTTCATGTTTTCTGTCTCAACCTCGGAGAAAACGTTACTGGTGTTGTTGGGCTGTTTCTTTGTTTTGCTCTCTTGCGGGTCGAAAAATGGCCACCTTGCAGATGTCCCAAGTTGATTTGGAGCAAGGAAACCATCGCCGTTCGGTTGTCGGAAGTGATGTAAGTGGTGAAGGGAGCTTATGCTTCTCTGATGCCGATGATGGTTCTTGTTACTCTCGTTTCTACTCAACAAATGGTGGTTCATATGATGATTACAGCTTTGCTTGTGTTTCTGATCCTGAGGTTGGGTGTGTTCCTCATTCTGGGAGAGCTTCTTCTGTTTCTGAGTGTTCTGTGGGTGTGGAAACTAGAACTGGAGTTCCTGAGATCAAGGTGCATTTGGCAAAAGTCGAGAAGGATTGTAGGATTTGTCACATGGGTTTGGAGAGCGATAGTCATGAGTCTGGTGCCCCCATAGAATTGGGTTGTTCCTGTAAGGATGATTTGGCTGCTGCTCACAAGCACTGTGCTGAGGCCTGGTTCAAGATTAAGGGAAATAGGTGAATGTTAAACTGCAACCCTTCACTTTCCCTACTATTTTTATTACATGGTTTTAATTTTTATGCTAAATCTTGGGTTTTTTATTTTTATTTTTTATTACATGTTGATTCGCGGCATTGATAATTGGAACATGCCAACATGTTACGTGTTGGTTTCTGTTTGAAAGCGTTGCATTTACTCACAGATTTTTGTTTGCTTGAAGGGTTTGATGTTAATGATTGGAGAGTAGGAAAGTAATTGAAGTGTATAACGCTGAATTTGAGTTGTGGATTATTTAATTTAGTGATGAGTGTAAGGCTGAGGAAGATGGTGGGGGAAGTATTTGGAAACATATTTTAGAAGGTGTAAAGAATTAAATTGCAGGGTGAGGGAAGACTCAATTATTTGTCCGAGAAATGGGAAAGTTATAGAAGACTAAATTATTTAAAGAAGATTATGGATAAAGAAAGGCGTAAAGCATCAACTAGTCCCACTGATTCGCTGGCTTGCCTACCTAAGCACAATGCGATTCTTTGCTGCTTTGTCCCTTTTCTAAAATTTAGGAATCTATGTTACTCTTCTTTCTTATTCTTTTGATCTATTTCAAAGTGGAGATTTGACCCCTTCTGACTCCTATTCATGGATTCAAATATCTTGGTAGATGCTAGTTCTTTACTAATGTGCCACCTATAATATTTTAAATCTACAAATTACTGGTCCCATATGATCTGTTCATTTATGATGTATGATGACAACTTATAGATTTTCCAATAGTTGTGACTTGTGAGTACTCCAAGCTCCTGAATGTTGCTACACAAGTTCAGATCCCTAGTTTCAGTTGTTGAGGTAAAATAATTTCACACTCCATGTTCTGGTTCAGCAGAGCCACTTGCAGAAGATGGAACAGTTAAAACTTTTATTCAGTGGCAGGGAGCTAGTCCTTAACTTTAATGACAATCCCCTAAATTCTGAATCAAAGTAAGGAAATTAGTTATTTGTGCTTTTAAGATAACATGGGTAGGGCATACTTTATTGAGGGACTGGTGACCGTCCATGATTTAAAAGCAATTTATAGGGGCCATTTATTGAGGAAGGATCTATTGGTATGGCTGATGCAGACGCTAATCCATCCAAGTGCATTACTTCATTGCTAAATTAAAATCCAATAATGCGACAGAATTTGAATCTTTTCAATCTTGGAATCTTCTTTAATTGATGTATTGATGCTTTGATTGATGGCAAATATTTATAATATCTTCTTTACCTTAGTTTTGAGACTTTGAAAAATGTGACATGGTTTGTCAAAGACAGTTGTGAACTTATAAAATGGCAATTGGACACTTGTATATAGAGATTTTAAGTTGGGCTAACTTGAGCTGGAAAACTATGAAATCATTAATTATTCTGATTGGTTAATTCTTCTGCCATGAAAATTTAGTATAAACAGTTAGGTTGATTGATGATTATCTTTGTTAAATTTAAATTAAATTTCATTTATTACAAGAGTGGGAGAATAGCAGATCACCCTTCAACAACGCTTATAGTGTATGAGCTGAAAATATCATGGTTTTGTTATATGATATTTTCAGATCGAGCATATTAACAGAATGACCTTTTGTATTGGCAAGCCTGCTTGTTTGTTTGAAGCATACAGTTTTGAAGTGGCTAATAATATAATGTTGCTCTTGATGTATGATCATGTATAATGAGTGGAATTGTATTGCTTGGAGCATCATCTCCAGTAAGTGCTGGCATGCTTTCTTCGATATGATTGATGTACCGAACGGATTTATCCTAAATTTTAGGATTTGTGTTTTTCTAATTATTTCTGTTTGCTTAAACTTTAACAGGACTTGCGAAATTTGTCATTCTGTTGCTCGGAATGTTTCTGGAGCAAACGAGGAATCGACGGAGCATGTTAGTGACGGTAACAATGCTACTACAGCAGCCACACTCTCCACACCTGCCTCTTCAGCAGAATCTCGAAGATTTTGGCACGGCCATCGCTTCCTGAATTTCTTGCTTGCTTGTATGGTTTTTGCATTTGTCATATCATGGCTTTTCCACTTTAATGTGCCATCATCGTAGGGAGTAAACAAGAGAGATGAAAAGGAAAAGGAGAGAAAAAAAAAACGAAATCCACTCCAGAATCCATGGAAAATAGTTTAGTTCCCTAGAGATTGAACCCTTCTCCCATTTGAGGCCTTATTGGGTTTATAAAGGTTGCTGTGTAACTTCCTTTCCATGCAAATAGACATTTTCTCCATTTTCTGTTGTGCATTCGTCCTAAATTATTGAGCTTTATTAAGCTCTCTTGTTCTGTCTTTCAAAGTTCAATATAATTCCTGGACAAGTACTACAATGTTTATTCAAATGTATATTATATATTACATTGTATTGCTACTTCATTGTCATTTTGTAAGATTTGGATACATTGCTTCTCGAAATCAAGAGTATGATAGATACTACATCTTTGCTTATCAAGATCAAATAGTTGTCCGTTGATTCACATCTAAAAAACAGTTCTTCGTAGACCCAAAAAGAATCATTGATTGAAGAAAAGGCACAGCTTTTGCAGTGTACTGAACATTGTGTCCATCGTTCTTATCAAGTGACATGTATCCAAACGGGTAAATTTCCAGGGAAGTTGAATATTAAAAGATAAAGAAATATGGTTTTTCTGGACCACATATTTATCGTAACTCTTTGATATCAATTCTTGTAACGTTTTTGAAGAAATTGTACAATTTCGATGCATTCTTTAAAACGTATTCTAATGAAAAAGTCTTTCTTGGTCGTAGATATATGCCTACCACGTTCGTCCCCATTCAATATTCGACAAGTGTAAGGTGGTGTGGACCATGTTAGAAAATTGCACTTATTGCTAAAGAATATTTTAAATACACCAAGTATTGAATGAAGTGCTTAAGTAATAAATGCCCAAATAAAATTTTTCTTGATAACCCATAAGTTAGTTGGAGAAGTTCACACATAACACCACCCTTGACAAAACAACTCCTTCCCATCCTAGTGCAATGGTGTATTATGGGCCCCAATTAGGCCCACTGTTGATATCAATTAAAAAGAGTAATAAAATTGGACCACTTTTTTTTCTTTTGTGATATCTATGAGGCACATTTATTATTAACCACAAGAAGGGTGCATGTGTGAGGTGAGGAGAAGTTCCCCATGAATTAAGGTAAGATGAATGGAAGATCTAGAACATTCTTAAAACCAGCAACCTAGTTGGGGAATTCAAGAAACCCTTGTGAGATGCATTCAACTCTAGAACGTGTTCAACGGAAGGCTAGCATTAAAGCCATCAAATCATGGTCGTGACACCAACGGCACCACTGACTTATAAGTTTTCAAAAAATAATATTATTTATTAGTACTATTTTAAAATAAAAATACTATTTATTTGATAGATAATACGTAAAACTTTATTAACTAAGTATTCCTCTACGGCCAAAAGATTTCCTATTTTAATATTGCACTACTTTAAAGCAAATAGTTATAATTACTATTGAAATATAATGGTTAAAAATTAAAATTATACCTAAATGTACAAGTATAATAAGTATATATTTCGATGAAAAGGGGCTAATTAATTACTAATGGTTCACTGTTCTTTTTATTAAAAGAGTAAATAATAGATCCTAATAGAAAAGCCAACTTACTATATGTTTTTTGTAAGACCTAATTGGTACCCCTTATTTGAAAATGAATTTTAACTCTATAGTTTATTGTGCAACTTTTCTATTGAAAACAACAAAGATCAAAGGATCCATTGGGCTTGACTTTTCTCATACAGTGGCCCAATAATGTATTAGTTTTAAAACAAAATAAAAAATAAACCTTAAAGTGACTTAATGTCACTTGCACAAAAGAGAGGTGCAACTGTGTTTCTCCATGGATTTTGATTATAAGTGAATCTGTACCAATTCCATATATTCAAATGATTTCCTAACATAATAAAGCAATATTCAAAATAATTTATATTGTCAAAAACAATTGTTGAATTTAGTATTTAGATTTAGACATAAAGTCTTAAATGCAACAATTATACTGAAAAAGGAGACACATGAGTAAGTAAAAACAAAAGATAATGATAGTGATGATCATGTTATCACTTCTACTACAGCATATCTTGTCTTTGTTTGGTGATGCGAATGTTACTAATATTATGTCTAATAAGTCTAGTTAGATGTTTGACATTAATTTAGAAAATATTTCTTTATATGATCATATATACCTTCGATCAGTTTTGAAAATATTTTGGATGAGATCGGTATTGGCATTATTTATTTGAAAATTGGTACAGTGAACTAATTAATTTTTAAAAATGTTAGACAAGCATCATATACATGTTTGTTTGTATTTGTTTTATACTATTGTACATGATGATGACAATAATGTTAATTTGTTTGGTAATGGAGATTGAAAACTCATCTAGGTTTTTCTTTAGTTGTGTCGTGTAGGTTGATATTTCCCAACGTTGTGTTACAAAAGTCTTAGCCACATCGATAGGAAGGAACTTGCGTATTTGTTCAATTATTTTACTTGTACGAGATTCCAATGAAAAAATGGAAACAAGTTCTACTTTGTATTGAAAACGTAAATAAAAACGGAAACAAATTCTCATCTCATTATGTATTATTTTTCAATACCAAGTAGAAACTTGTTTATTTCGCATTTGGAATACACACATTTTATTAAATAAAATACGTTTTCGTTTGTATCTAGTCCTAAAAAAGAATAAACTAAAAGATGTAATTAACAAAGCCCGTAAATTTACGTACATTAGTCTGTGACAAGTTTATGGCTCGTGATTCCTCTATATGATAAATTTTTTCATCTCCTCGAACTTCTAAGTAAAATACTTAAAATATTTTTTTCATAATTTTATTTTTTTATCCTAATTTCTTTTATTTATATATTTCTACACCTTCCTTCATTTGTTATTTGATTTTTTATATTATCACTTCATTAAAGACTTTTTTCTAATAATTAAAGATGAGTAATAGTTAATATTATATATGAATTACAAGTTATTGTTTAATCTAAAACAATGTTACGAAATATAAGATTGTGAAATACTTAATCTATAATATATATTCGAATTGATTATTTCAACAATATATTTTGAAACTCATTCCAGGAAAGGTGAAATATATTTCTAGAAATTAATTATAAAAAGATACATTTCCGAAAAATCAATTTTATAAAAAGATATATTCTAAAAAATACGTTCCAGAATATATTTTTAGAATTAATTTTCCAGAGATATACTGATTAATGAGTCTGAAATATATTTTAAAAAAATTAATTCTAAAAATATATTTTAAAATGTACTTTTTCAAATATATTTACAGAAAAAATCTATTCTAGAAATATATTCCACAGCATATTTTTTGAAAATGTGAAATGTATTTTAAAAAAATCAATTGTAAAAATATATTATGATAAGTAGGTTCTGAGGCACATTTTCAAAATTGATTTTTCGAAGGATTCCAAAATACACTTTCTGGAACCTGTTTTTCGAGAAAAAATGTCCAATTTTCTTAGGGTTTAATTTAATTATGGGATGTTGGGAGAAATTACGCCGTGCAGGAAGCAACAGCCCAGGTTTAATTAACTGCTCTTGTAAGCCCAAAAGCAAGGATCTGGAAAAAAAAAAAAAATATATATATATATATATATATATATATATATATATATATATATATATATATATATATATATATATATATATATATATATATATGATAAATAAAACCAAGTTCTTACTCATTAATTTTTTTTTTTCTTTTTCCAATCACTAGAGCATGTATATGGGTATATAGTTATAAAATATTAAAAGTAAATCTTCAAACACTGCTATGACTAAAAGTCCTTTTCCAGAATTTCTTTTATTTTATTTTTTATTTTGAGTAAAATTATTACTATTAACAGACATAGTATAAAAATTTCATTATATCAAAATATATGACACATGCTGTCTTTTTTCTTCTATTTCAAATGTGTTAATACAGAAAAATGTTGATTGTATGTTACATGATCGTATTGTATTTCATACATAATAGTAATCTACTATTAAAGTGTTGTTGTTCAATATATATATATATATATATATATATATATATTTTTATGCTTAAGTCCTAAATACATTCTTACAGAGGAACAAGAACTTCAAATGTAATAAGTTTCAGATTAAAAATAGATCATAATTAACTAAAAAAATAAAACTTGAGAAAATATTCTCTATAGAAGTTACCCAAAAAAAAACATTAATGTCCACTGAAAAGTGTCCAAAAATACTATACTATTTCATAGTGAATTAACTTTAACGTATTTGTCATATTTACTGACTAAATAATCCTATAGGAACAACAGATTTACAAAAACAGCATTTTCTGTTCACATTTGTTGGTATATCTGCAGATTTTTTGTCCGTAATCCTTGGCAGCATTATACTTTTCTGAGGCCAAAACCTTAATCAGATGAAAAGATATTTGGTTTGAAGCAAGTGAAATTTAAACAACATGACCCCTCCTTTCAATCAAAGATGGTTTTCAAGTGTACAAACAACAGGGGCCATGATGGGGCGAAGTGCACCATTTTCCTTGGAAAGGAATCAAACAATATTCCATTTGAGTGATATATGAGGTACATGAGTTACTTTATTATTGAAAATGCTGTGTGGGGATTTTTTAATTCATAATGTTGTCCAATCTTGTTCTGTGTAAAAGCTTACAATTACTGTCTGGCCTATTTCTGGAAAAAATGTCATTCATTCAACACCATCAAGCAAATACGAAACTTTGCAAATATTAAAAAAATCAGCAGGCATTTAGAGAGAATTGGGCTAATTGGGATGAAGAACACAATTAAGCTGATTAATACTCAAATGAGAGCAGTTGTTTGTATTATTCATTCAAATTTGATATCAGGATGAGGGAATAAAAAGGACCATCATATTGGGAAAGGAGCAGTACATCTACTCATAAAGTGGTCGTTACATGGATGGAAGACATCCCACAACAACAATGATGGTCTTGCATCACTCATATAAACACATACATGCC